TTGTTCTAGCACACAGCTATCAATGGCCCCAAGTATTTCGTCTACCCAATTACTCTCAGAAGGCTTGGGTCAACCCATAATATGGTTTTCAGGCACTTTCGAAAGGTGCCACATGCTGGGATCATCCCCGCCTCCAGACCGATAACACCAGGAAGTCTCCTTCCCGGCAGATCAACCATTGTGAGATTCGAACCCTGGTCTCATGGTCAGAAAGCATATGTTCTAACCACTCAGCCATGTGCATATATATATATATATATATATATATATATATATATGTGATAGGATAAGGAACAAATAGGAAAATTTTAGAAATTATTATTATTATTATAAACGTTTTCTATTTGTTCCTTATCCTATCATTCTAATCCATATCTGATCTATATTTGATCCCAATTCATATATATATGAATTAATTGCACACCTTAACCAATTTCATGGCCAAGTCAGTTACAGCATGCCAGGCTAAATGGGACACAGGTTCAATTCCTGCTGAAGAGCGTAATTTTTTCTTTAATAAGACTTCTCAAAATTTCAGACCAGCAGACAAAAATAGATAAATAAATAAAAAATAAATAGCAGGACAGACTGAGCCCTATAAATATAGGGCTCAGTCTGTCCTGCTATTTAACCATAGCTGGAGGGAGAAAAGATAGATTTATGCTTTTCCCAAGGGTATTTGCACATAAATAAATGTAACGAACTTGAGTGGAATTTGAACACTGCTTCCTGATTTCTCATTTTGAGTCACTATCCATTATGTCACCTGCACATCCTGGGTATGACAATAAACTATATCTGGCAATAAGGCCTCTGACCTCTTAATTGCTCTAGCTCCCAGGTTCACCCTGACCCAGGGTGGTAGCACCTGTTAGGATCCCAGCTATGGGCAAATAGTTAACCCCCAAACTGGGTTCAAAACACTATCAAAATATGAAAATACATTTTTATAGTAAAAGTACCAGCAATACATTTTTGTAAAAGTAATTATTAATGCTCCCAAGAAAATTAAATTTTGGCATTAAATGACCCATAAGGAGTTGAAATGCCACTAAACAAGCAATCAATCAAAACTATTCTAAAAATCTTGTTGGCGTTAAATAACCCTTCAAGGTTGAAATGCTGTAAAACATAATAAACCCAAATCCTACACACACACACACACACATATATATATTATATATAATTTCAATGTTTTTCAGCTTTTTCATTTTAATACCTTTCTCAAGAGTATTAGTGTGGCTTAGTTTTTACATTTACATCATAAATATTTATATATTTACATTTACATCATAGATAAATGAAATGTCATTATATCTATCAGTTAGCATCAGAAAAAAACAGTTGAAATTTATAGGGGCAGAAAATGAGGAAAGAGGGTTTACAAAGTATGACACTCACAGGACATATTGAAGGCAAAAGGGACAGAGGAACCTACCTAACAGCTTGTGTAAATGGTTACCAGAACAGAGATTAGAGGAATGATCATAAAAGCAAACCGTTTTAAGAGCGACAAAGGACAAGATATAGAGCCATGATGGACTAAACAATAAGGGATATCATCTAGTTCTTATTTTTAGACTAAAAATAAGAACTAGACAGTATCTCTGGACATAGGCAGCAAAAACAAGAACAGTCTACCTCCCATAAATTAAATAAAGGTCTCAGTTTAGAATTCCCTGTAGGTTACCCAGATCAGTATATATTTGAGGGTGTAATGGCTGAAATGTGATAACAACTACAAAGATAACAATAATCCAAATATAAATGCTTTAAATAATCTTTTTTCCTTTATTTGGTAATCTTCACTGCCACTGATTCTGATCCCATCTTGTACATTTCAAACTCCCCCTCCATAAATATGAGCATATTTGACACAGTAATATCACGATTACAAGTCCCATAACCCATTACAGTCAGCCATAGTAACAGTAGTGTGACTTGGGCAAGATAGCCTGACAGAGTCTAACTGCAGTCTAATTGGAATTCACCTTTCTTTCTCCTAGACTAGTTGCCAGCCAAAGCTATAGGGCTCTGTCAGTCTGTCCTGCTATTTACCCATAGCTTGGAGGAGAAGAGATAGATTTATACTTTTCCCAGGGTTATTTGTGCACAAGTCAATGTAACGAATATGACTGCAATTTGAACCTCACTCTCCAATTTCGCATTCCATGTCATTATCCATTACATCAGTGCACATACAATAATATCGGGATGCTTTATTTATATGTCTGTGATAAATTGAAGACTAAATCATTGCCAGTTACTGACAAAAATGCTAAGTAGTATGACTTATTTGAAGAAAGGTTAAGCTCTGTAAATAAGTATGTAATTAATCACAAACAAGGCAGATACAGATTAAAAAATGAATTGAATTTCTAAAATGATGCTTGTCCATTTAAAAGATACTAAAAATAGATGGTTATAGTGTAAATCTGTTTACATAAATTGTAGGAATAAGAAAATCTTACATTTCAGCAAATGGTGTCAGTTAACAATATCCATCTTCTCGCCAAACATATTTGATATTTTCTTCCTCTTGAGGAATACTCTGCATTCTGAAATGGTAAATTTGTTTGATCAGTCTTTTTTTTTATTTTAAGAAACCTCTTTTCTGATCGTCTTATAAAATCTTGTAGATCAAATCAATCAAAAATTATTAATGATATGTCAAATAAACCTGTTGATTATGATTTTACAAATGTAAGTAATTTCTAGAGTATTTACAAACTAGAGTTTGATAGGTCCTTATTTCTTTAGTATTAATCAGAAATGTATGATCTACTTAATGTTGTGTATTAATTAAACAAATTTAACTGATGATTTAATATTAACTATCATTCTAGTCATTTTTTCTATTTAATTGCTAAATGCACAACTTAATGAAGGTAATTTTATATGAACTAATTTGGAGCTTCAAGACCAATTAAATTCATCTTTCAGTTTTTTGTTGTTTTACAATAAGGTTCACCCAGTACAAGGTCTAGGGGCCACTCAAGGTAGATGGTTACATTAAGAAGCAGTTTATGAGGATAGGAGAGGAAGATAATGGATAACTCTAGACTTGAACAGGCTAAGATTGTAGTGATCAGGGAAACATCCTCTAGGGAGTTGGTTTCACAGAGCTATGGTTTGCAAGAAGAAGCTGTTTGAGTCGAACTTACTTCTCACCAGTGGAATACAGAGAGAATGTGGGTGGTTTGCTACAATGTGAGTGGCTTGGTGGGTTCTAGCCGTGAATGTTAGAACTGGTGGAATCAATGATGGAATCAAGGAATGTACCATGTCCAAGCACTTTCCATTGGAAGTAGTGATAGAGCAGTGAGAGGCTTGCCATCCTGCCTGTGAGAGAGAGATTGGAAAATTGTCTCCCACAAGGACTCAGAGGCACTTATGAACTGGAAAGTGAAGACTAGACAGCTCCCACCCAAATATGACAACAGTACTCCATTTTAGGCCTGATCTGGCTCTTGTAAAGGTAGAGGATAGCATGCAGAGTTTTAGAGGTGCACCTGTATATAAGCGTATCATGGACATAGATGTTCACAAATGATCTGAATATATTAGGCAGATCATTTATGTAAAGCAAAAAGAAGGTTGATCTAAGAAATGACCTCTGGAGGATGCTTGCATTGATTGCCAGGGTCCTGGAAGACTGGCTGTTAATAACTTACCTTCAGGGACTTAACCATTAAAAAGGACTTTATAATTGAGAAGACTATTTCAGATATTTACTGGAGTAGTACAGGGAGCTAACCATTTTCCTACATCTTTTGTGCTGGATTGTATGTACAAGGTCCACTTGAGGTCAGGTGTGAGTAAGGTCCACTTGAGGTCAGGTGTGAGTAAGGTTCACTTGAGGTCAGGTGTGAGTAAGGTCCACTTGAGGTCAGGTGTGAGTAAGGTCCAATAGTCTCTCAAGGCATGGAGCCTCATCAAGGGGATCTCCTTGCATCATGACTGGTGGTGGTTTGGGGTCTGATAAAAGAATCTTACTCAATCATAAGTTATCTAAAATCCTTAGATAACTTGACTCAATCAGACAGTCCCACCAAAAGATAAAGGAAATGATTCCAGACCTCATTGGAAGTTTATACTTTATTTCTGATCTGTACTGCATAATGGAATGAGTATGGTAATAAAAATATGATGAAAGAAAATCTATCCCAAAATAAGTATTTCATCTAAGAAATTCAACCAGCTTAAAACTATTACAGCTACTACTACTATTACTACTAGATGCAAGCAACCAGTATGGCATGAAGGTAAAATTACTAAAGAGAATGTATATAATTGACTGAATTTGAATGATATTGGTTAACAACATTTTGTAGTCAAATTAGCAAGTTAGTTAACCACTTGGAAACACTGGGTACTGTAAGCAATCTCTTACAATACAAAATATGTTTCAGCTATTGATTGATAAACTGTAAAAACAAATCATTCAATCAAACATTGTCTTAGTCAGGCAGATGCTCATAGGTAAGGAGTATGAGTTCAAATCTCATTGGAAACTTATTTTTTATTTCTAATCTCTGCTGCTTACATAGTATGTAAAATTTTCTTATTTATTTTATTGATACTTACATAGTATGTAAAATTTTCAAACTTACTTAGTATGTAAAATTTCCTTACTTACATAGTAAAATTGACCTTAGCATTGCAATATAACAAAATAAATTTTAGGCAAAAAAATGAATATACTTTTTTCCCTAACCCAAAATAAGTCTTAAAAATTCATCCTTCATCACATCTGCCAAAGGTGTTTTTTTTTTTTTTTTCTTTTTAATTTACTAATTATAATTGGGGTGCCTTCTTAAAGCCAAAGTTCTCTCAACAAAACACCTGAAATATTGTTGTAATAACAACAAAGGACATTTTTCAAACTGTAACTAATGTAAATAATACCAACAAATATGATAATTATAATCTTAAACAAATCCTAAATAATTACTTATATCTGAATATGTTTAATGTTGGTATATGATTATATTTTTCAGTCTGAAAACAGTTTACTGGAACCTCGTTTTGTTGATTTGCAACACCTGGTTCAGGAGTATATGAAACGAGGAGACAAAAATGGCCTTGTATGTGCAATGAAAAAAATTGTGGCAGCCGAACGTACAGAAAAACTGGATGAACCTGACTCAGGTGAGTTTAAAGATATTTTCCTTTCATTTTCATTCAAATCTGAAGCATTATTATTATTATCATCATAATTATCAGTATTTTCTCAGATAAGCTCTTAATATTTGGTGCTTAATACATGCAGGTCACAACGAGCAGCCTTAAATAACATGCAATTTTCCTTTGAAAAGTATGCATCACTTTTTGGATTATTCTTGCCATTCTTAAGAGTCTTCCTTTCTGCAATAGTTCTACTAGGCAATCAATGCCCACTTTTCTACTAGGCAATCAATGCCCGCTTTTCTTTATCCATGTAGCATGATTGTGACCTTCTTTAACTTCCAAAGCTTTGTGAGTTTAAACTTCAGTGTGTAATAGATGGTTTCTCTTATTTCATTTTGCACTATCCTTTTATCAAAAGGACATGATGGATAAATGACTCACTCTTCTTTTTCTATTTTATCTTCCACAAATATGTCCATTTTGTTGTGCTCTAGTTTCTTAACTGTTTGTATTGAAAATTCCCACAAAATCGGAATTTTTCAATACAAATAATAATAACAATAATTATTATTATTGTATTTGATTTTTCACCTCTTTGTAAGTAGAAGGGACAGCCCATGGCATGAGTTGCATATTGAGGATGTCTAAAATAAGCAGGTACATAAATTCAACTATTTTGTTCAAAACTGACATAGAAACTTAGAATAGAAAAAGATGTTTTTCAGAAACTAAGTAAAGTATTAAGAGATTGAAAAATAACATTAGAAACAAAGAAAAGAGTGCTATGTAATATCTAATCTCCTATATGGCAGTAAAATACTTATCAATCTCTTCATGCCTCTCAAAAAATAAACAACATATTAAGAGATAAGAAAATGTCCTTAGACACAAAGAAGGGTGTTGAACTGCTATTCAATATTTAATCTATATGGCATTGAACGCTGGCCAATTTTGTGATAAATGTAAAGAATTGAAGTGAAGGAGGTGTGGCTCAGAATGCCATGGATAGAGAATGTAAGAAACAATTTTGAGTAAAATAGGAATTACAAAGAAACTGTTGCTAATAATCTGACATGAGATTGCTTAAATTCAAGGGATGTATGATGAGAAAAGAAAACTTGGATAATTTAACCCACACCGGAAACATAAGAGAAGCAATAACCTACTTAATAAGTTTGAACAACTGGATAAAAAGTATGACAAAAACAAAGCGATCATAAAATAATGCTGAGAGCAGCAAAAGATGGGATGCTGGGGAGAGTCATGATTACCCATATTCTATGCACCACATTATGGCACATAAAAAGAGAGAAAATAAGTTCCCAGTGGCTTTTACGGGAAATCAAATGATATGTTAGCCGTTTCCTTATAAGGAAACATTCAGCATTCATTGACCAAGCATCCAGCCCTACTTTCAGTTGAAATTTATTAAATCTTAAAAGAATTTTTCAGGAAAATATGTTTTTCAAGTATAGTAACTTTTATTACTCTTTCCAGTATTGATGGGGGCTTTGTTTCTAATATTTTGTTTGAGGTAGTGTAGAACATCGATATTTTGATTATGTCATTATTTTCTCTTCAGATTACATTTCCTATCCATTTTAATTGTTGCTGTTGTTAAGTCTTCAAGTAATGTGGTTTCTGTTATTTGGTAATGTTCTTTGCGATTCCACAAATCCAAAAGGTTCAAAGAAGGGTGGTCCTTATTAAGACCTACAGGTTTCATTTGCTTGAAGCCATTTTTAATCATTGATCTGAGTAGGCAGTTGTATACATCTGACAGTTTAGATATTTCTGAGCAAGTTTGGCACCATGCAATGACATTCATATGAAAGTTTCAATCCGATGAGGATATTTAAGAACATGACTCAAGTTTTCAGGTTAATGTTTTGGTTTTGTAGCAATTTGTGGGAGTGAGTGAAACTACCCCAAGCACAGTATTCCAAATAATTTTAGTTATGCCAACATCTAGATAGCAGTTTCTAATAGGAATAAGTGATAGCAAGTTTCAAATTTCTCTCACCTTCTTCAGTAATTTGTACTGCCACAAATAATTTTAAACCTAAGAGCAAGGGAAAAGATGGCAGAGACTGTACTGCAGTCAGCATGATTAATGATTTAGGCCTACCATTATTATTTTGTACTCATTTAATTTTAACACCAGTAAAATATGGTGGCTCTTTCTGGAGATAAAGTGACAGCAAGTTTTTTTCAATACTTCAGCATTCTCATTGGTATTCTTGTTGATTTTAATGTTATTATTAGAATTATTTCAATTCTTCAACCTTTTTGAAAATCTTTATTTTACTATTCAATCACTCCTAGAATGATGGGTATCATTATCATCTTATTTCTTTTTTAATTTCTCCAGCAATAACCAGGTATTTTCCCTGTTTATCAATCTTAATTTCATGTTTGTTCTGATAGACAGATCTTTTCTTTCTTCATGATGAGTCTAGTGAATTTTAAAATCCTATACAATTTTACTTATTTTATTCTCCTGTTCAGCTCCTGGTTTATACATACCATATATACTCAAGTAAGAGTTTTTATGATCAGTTGTTTCTATGCGAAAAATAGGAGGTCACATTATATGAAGATATTTATTTATTTATTTATTTTTTTTTAAAGTTTCAAAATCATGCATTTTGGTGACTGGTTGCACTATACACAGGTAATTTTTTTTCTGAAGGAGTTAAAATTCATGCAAAAAATTCACAGTTCATACTAGTCAGCTTCTACAAGAGTATATATGGTATTTTATATTTTGTATCTGCTATTTGTTTAAATGGTTAAATTCCAGATATTTGCACAATCCCCAGTTGATCACAATTTCTACATTTTTGTATCATTTTCTTTTTTTTACTACAACATCTGTTCTATTTGCTGGAAGATAATCATGCAATTTCATTTTAGAAAATAATACAATTAAATTTTGTCTGTTTTGATTGTCCAGACACATAGACTATATCCTGTGTTCTATGTTGCAACATAGTTTGTGAAATGTCAATAAATTCTATTACTCTACTATTCCCTTTCTTTTATGAGTATTGCTTAGTTGAAAACCATTTATATATGAAATTTTATCATCTGGGAAATATTGCTGAGATTTCCTCCAACTTAAGTGCCATACCCTTTCAGGATGGAGGTGATCTTGCTTTTCCTTTTCTGTTAATAGTTGTAAACAGCTATAATTGTTTTAGGAAAGGACGATGGAGTGGTTTCCTGTTGTCTCCTCTATAGGTTTTGAATTCAGGGTTGTCTTTTCTGAAAATAGTTGCTAACAAAAGCTAGAGAACTTAGTTTGCTTTACTATTTATCAGATAGCTGAGGAGGAAAAAATGGATTCATGCCTTTTACAATTCATTAGTAAGGCTTACTTTTACTAATTTACCTACAATATAGAATATCTTGTATTTGTGAAGTCTATGATTTGCATTGAGCATTAATGAAAGAGGGTTTGGCTTAAAGATTACAACAATACACCAAGGGGCTTAAAACTCATTTTGCATACACAAAACTATGATTTCAAAATGGAGCAGAAACTTTGTTTACCTTTACAGTCTACTTCTTGAAGATAACTACTCTTTTTTTTTTTTTTTTATTTGTTTATCTTTATTCTTATTTTATTTTTTTTCAGATGATGATGATTTTGAGGCCAATGCAACAGACCCCAGTGCCAGGCATAACACAGTCAGCACCCTCAGAATGCAGTTTCTTAGGAATTTTGCAAGATTAGATTTGTCCAAGTAAGTATTTTCTTCGCCTTGTTCAGCTCGTTGGAATAGCACCCCTCCACCCACTTCCAAGCAAAACAGGAAATTATCAATACTGGCAAGGAAGCAATTCCACCATAAATGCTGCTCTCTTTTTCTAAGTCGTGTTATGAAAAATACAAATTGATTGCTGGCTGTTAGATCTAATATTGCCTTAATAGTTTGGGAACAGAACATCCAGACACTGTTAATAGATTTTCATTTCTTCTTTCATTTTTGCTGTGGTGATTAATTTGTTTGCTAAGTTTGCCATTGGACATTGCTTTCTTCAGCAAGCAATAAAATGCTGACTGATTTCAAATATGATCTAAGACTTAAGATCTTAACCTTTTTTTTTTATCCATTCACCCTCTTCTCCATATTTCAGAATATTCACCACTTTAGCCCATTTGAAAATTGTCTAACAAAAGGTAAATTGTAGTTTGGTGAAATCTCAATATTTCAACAGTTTGAATCTGCCAATCTATGACCCCAATTCTATTCTAAAGTTCACCTGAGATTGGAGTATTCCCACTCTTGAGTGAGAAAGTTGAAATTCATTTGAACTTATGCTAGCATGAAACAAGCATTATATTAAATATATTGTTAATATTAACAAATCTGGCAGTAGAAAAGATGTTTCCATTTGACCGAAACGGATATATTCTTTCAGTTGAATTAGATAATAATAAAGGGACATAACTCTTTTTTTCTATATATGACCGATTATCCATTATGTTCATTGATAAATTGGCATTTAAAATATTTTAAAATTCAAATGATTAACTATGTAGCTGAATGAAAAGACTTCTAAAGATTTTTAAAAGATTTTCAATATATAACAGTTTTTAAATTTTATTTTAATATGTATTTATTTATTAATATATAAATATATCATGTGTACTGCAGAATTTTAAGTAGTTTATTAAATTCTATAAGATTTTATCTAATTTCAGTTTCTTTATAGTGCAATTATATTTTCAGTTTATTTATTTTTTATATATGTATATATTTTTTATTTGTATTTCCCTTTTCCCTACAAACCTGTCTCATATCTTCAAATTCATATACATGACAATCATAACTTGGATTCTACTCAAGCAATACTGCTACCCCAGGCAAAGCGATAATGCCACTAAGACACAAGGGTTACTTAGATTGAAATTAATTGAGAAGACATTAAGAAAAAAAAAAGTTTCTTAATAAAAAGAATTATTCTTACAACCCAAAATATGTTTTGGTTTAAAAAAAAAAACACAAAAAAATAAATTAATCAACCAGTTCGACTTATTCTCACCTTTTTCCCAATTTGAGTTCAGTTAACTTTTGTTCTTCAAAAGGAACCCTTAACTCAACAATGTGAGTCTTTTTTTTAATTAACCAATCACACACAATAATGTCTCAGCTGAAAAGATAACATTCTAAATTTTGTATAACTCTTAAATTTCTATAAGTGACAACAGTTCAAGTTTATGCTCTTATTGTGTTTCATCAGTAATTGATTTTTTTTCATATAATTAATTCAGAATTTATGGTTCTTTTATCAATGGTTTAAAATCTATTGTTCTTTTAGATGTTTTTTTTTTCCAAAGTATTCTAGTGATCTGATATAGTTGCAATAAACAGTTTCATTTGATTTATAGCATATCAACCTCAATAGGTTATTTAATGCCAACAACATTTTTATTGCTGGTATTTTTATTTTTTTTCAAAAATGTATTGCTGGTAATAATTTTTTCTAAAAATCTATTATTGGCATTAAAACCTATTTTTACACCTTCATAGTGTTTTGATCCCAGTTTGAGGGTTAACTATTTGCCCATAGCTGGGTCTCTAACAGGTGTTATGATCATGGGTCAGTGTGGACCTGAGAACACCAACAATTAAGAGACCGTTCTACGCTCCTCAAAAACCCCTGATCAGAGGTCTTGCTGTTGGATGTAGTTTTTGTAGATGTTTTTTTTTTCCAAAGTATTCTTATGATCTGATATATTTGCAATAAACAGTTTGGTTTGGTTTGTTTTATGGCATATCAACCTCAATAGGTTATTTAATGCCAACAAGATTTTTATTGCTGGTAATTTTTTTTTTTTTTTTTTTTGAAAAATGTATTGCTGATAATAATTTTTTCCAAAAATCTATTATTGGTATTAAAACCTATTTTTACACTTTCATAGTGTTTTGACCCCAGTTTGAGGGTTAACTATTTTCCCATAGCTGGGTCCCTAACAGGTCTTACCACCATAAGTCAGTGTGGACCCCGGAATACCAGCAATTAAGAGGTGGTTCCATGCTCCTCAAAAACTCCTGATCAGAGGTCTTGCTGTTGGATGAAGTTTATCATCAGGACAGGCAATAAACAGTGACATAATCATATATTTATATATACAATTGGAATTTTCAACAAATGAATTATAATTTATTATTTTTTCATTTATCACAAACATTTGATTTCCTTATATCATGGGTGACACACACAATTCCCAAAACTCATTAAGGTCATTAAGTTACCAACAGTATGTGTGTCTAAGGCAAGGTAGTCTGACGGAGCACATCCCTCTTCAGACTGGTTTTGAATTCAGAGTTGTCATTCTCCTAAACTGGTTGTCCTACCAAGGCCAAAGAGCCTACTCTGCCCTATTATTTATAGGGGCTTATAAGGGTTTGAATTCTAGACTAGCTACCAACCAAGGCAAAAGGACCCACTTTGCCCCACTGTTTAAATCATATCTGGAAAGCTGAATTCAGGCCTTTTTGTAAAAGCATTAGAGAAAAATGAATGAGCCAGACTCAATCAGAATTTGAACTCGGCATGCCAGTTCCACTGTGATGCTACTCACACATCATTTATATCAAAAAATCTTTTCTAAAAACATTGTATATGATTAAAAAAAAAAATGAGTTTTTCTATATTAACTTCAGTCTCAGCTATGAAAAGGAATCCCATTCACTAATTAATAAATATAAAATATAAACAGGATACCAACAATGTATTCATCCACAATTCCTTGACCAGTGGTCCCTCTTTATCAGCTTTTAATAGTTTTATTTAATTGTGGTCAAAAGAAAAAAAATAAATACATAATTTACTTAAGGATGAACCTAAAATCTCAGTAGTGATGCTCGCAATTCAAAAGTGCCAAAAAGAAGCCATAATGTGTTTTATTTAAGTGAAAAATTAAAAATTCTTGACTTAATAAAAAAATTATATGCTGAGATTGCTAAAATCTTTAATAAGAGTGAATCTTGTTTCTAATTTTGCTACAATATATTGTTATAATTGTTATGTTTTATTATTAGTCATTCTTGTCAATCTCTTAGTGTGTGCAATTTATAAATTAAACTTTATCATAGGTATGCATATATAAAAGTGTGTATGTGCACGCGTGCACACACACACACATACACACACACATGCGCTTGGATCTCCTCTGGATTTTGAATGATCACCTAAAAATTGAAGTTTGCATGCCTTTTTCAAAAATACAATATTGACCCATTACTGCATAAATTTTCCTTAAAACTTTTTTAAAATTTTTGCCTAATCTACCTTGCTTGATAATATTGACCTGGTAGATTTTATTTTTTAGTTAATCTCCTCGCTAAAATATTGTTTGTCATGCACTAATTAAATAGTTTCAGTATCCTAGCTTAGTAAAAGTTAATTAAGCCCCCCCAAATGAAACTTTCTAATTATTAAATCCAGAGGGTGTCCCCCAATTTTTTGCCTATTTGTGTGTGGGTGTGTCTGTGTGTGTAATATATATATATGGTTTGGTACTATCTGCAGTTTAAGGCCTCCACTGGGGATCTTAAAATATATTCCCCCACAAATAAGTCATGGCTAATGTAATAACAAGACTTCATCTCATTTAATCCACTTTTTCATAGACTCTACAATAATGTATTAAGAATTGGGATCTTCAAAAGATGTCTTATAATTTGTAGTCCTGCTTTATGAATTATTTACTTTTACTCCTGACACAGGACTTCAATACCAAAAGAGTTTCAAGAAAGTTGCAGTAAAGGGACGTAAGTTTCATAAATGACAATACTACAATCACAATAAAAAAAAAAAAGTAAAACTCCTGTTTTTCGCTCTCTGCCTTGGTGACTAATTTTGATCTGCTAACAAATTAACTGACACTTCTTTCTTTTAATCTAACTACAATGTATGAAATAAACTATCCACGGTTCTTCCCCATCTCCTGCCAATTTTTCAACGGTAAAAGAAAGTTTTTGTTCGTTTTGTGCATGCTCAAAATAGTTAAGTTTCTTTCAATCTGTGATTTGCATTTATATCAACCATAAACATCTCTGTGCTTAAACTTTGAAACTAATCAACTTTTTTTTTTAACCTTAAGTAGTTTATAGTCTTTAATCTGTTATGACTGTTTTATGGTAATTCTAACATGAAAGTAAAATATTATGATCAATTAACTAAGAAATATTTTTTAAATATGTAGAAATAGTTTTATTTATAAAATATCTCTACAGCTAACTATATTTTAATGTTTAAAAATCAGTTTTACTATATTATTTATATAATTGTGATACACATTCATGTTTTCATATTCTGTATGATTAATGAACAACTAAAAGTAATATTTAATTTTGATCAATTAGAAATGCTACCAAATAAGTCTGTCTAACCTTGCTAAACAAGGATGAGGAACAGTCTCATCATTCATCCATCTCTCTATATATATATATATATATATATATATATATATATATATATATAGTAAAATCCATTTGGCCCTTTAATATCAGTGATATAGCTAACATATCTGTGCCTAGCCTCGAATTGCTTATATGGATGTGTTGGTGTGAACTAAAATGCATACACCTGTATGTATGTGTCTATGCGTATGATAGTATCACCCCAAACAAACAGAAAAGTATATTCCCTTTCCCACCACCAAACATAGTAAAACAAGCATAAATAGATCCAATTTTACAAAATAAACCAATTTGTTTGATGATTGCAAAAG